TGGCCACACTGCCCCGGATGCAGGTCAGGATGCTACCAGTCTTCTTGGCCACCTGGGCACACTGCTGACTCATGTTCAGCCAGCTGCCAACCAATGCCCCCAGGTCCTTTCCTGCCATGCAGCTTTCAAGCCACTCTTCCCCAAGCCTGTAGCGCTGCATAGAGTGGTCGTGACCCAAGAGCAGGATCCAGCACTTGGCCTTGTTGAACATCATGTAATTGGCCTCGAACCATCTTTCCAGCCTGCCCAGATCCCTCTGCAGTGCCTTCCTACCCTCAAGCAGACCAACACTCCTGCCCAGCTTGGTACCATTTGCAAACTTACTGAGGGTGCACTTGTTGCCCTTGTCTAGATCACTGATAAAGATGCCAAAGAGAATTGGCCCCAGTACTGATCCCTGAGGAACACCACTTGTGATTGTCTGCCAACTGGATTAACTCCATTCACCACAACTCTTTGGGCCTGGCCATCCAGCCAGTTTTTTACCCAGAGAAGTGTGTGCCCATCCAGGCCATGAACAGCCACTTTCTCCAGGAGAATACTGTAGGAAATGGTGTCAAAGACTTTACTGAAGTCTAGGCAGACAACATCCACCACCTTTCCTTCATCCACTAAGCAGGTCACCTTGTCATGGAAGGAGATCAGGTTAGTCAGGCAGGACCTGCCTTTCGTAAACTCACGCTGACTGGGGCTGATTCACTGGATGTCCTGTACGTGCCACGTGATGGCACTCACCTGCTGATGGACTCATCTGCAGAAATGCTATCTAGTGCCATCTGCAGCAACATTTCTTTGGGAAAGAAGTCAAGCGTTAAGATAGAACCAACTCTGGCTGCATAGAATCTGAAAAGCTGTCAGCTGCCACCATAGCTTACAGTCACAGCTCACCCTTGGACACATTTCAAGTTAGTGACTGGCTCCATGATCTAACCTGAGCCTTTAAACCACCCAGTCATTTAAGTGACCAAGCTTCACCTTGCTTCCAACGATGACTTGTTAAGGAAATTATTTAAGGAATATTAGGAAGTTTGTAAGGAATAAAAAAAACAAACCACCACCTACAGACACTGAGTTAATCCCATAGACACCTTAAGAAACATTGCTTGTCCTCTTTTAAGTTGCTTTCTGTGTATTACTTAGAGACATGCTGAAGTAACTCACTGCAAAACCAGATACTCTTTATATGGAAATGGAGCTCCACTCGCATCTGTGTTTTCACAAGATGCTTCAGGAGCACCTGCACCTTAAGATGCTTTCTGTAGTACTGTGCTGCTCCTGGTATGCTTATGCTGCAGCCCAGCAGAGGCTCAGCAGGGCAGATGCAGTTTGCTGCTGGTGGTTTTATTAGGGATTGAGAATGGTTTACAAATGCATTTTGTCAGAAATGTTCTCATTAATTCCTCCCCCCATTATACAATGCAGATTCTGAGCTTACTGCTTCCCTTCACCAGTTCACAGCCAGACAACCCTAGGCTCAAATACTCTGATTGTCTTCTGCCTTTTAGAGGTGATTTAATCCAAAATTTGTCCTCTCGCTACTCCTAGACCCATCTCTTCCTTACTTTGTTCCTGTTCTCTTTAGCACTTACTCTTCCTTCACTTGAACTCTGAACTTCAACCTGCTGTGAGAAGTCTGAACTACTGTGTAATAGAGTAAGAACAGGGTTTCAGATGCAAAAGGATATGAAGAAACTGTCACCCAAAAAATTGCACTGAACTTTAACCTTCTGTTCTTACTCTGACTATAAGCAGTGAGGTCTATGTTACAAGCACTTACACTCCTCCCTACATCCAAATGCATTGCTACAGTTGAAGGCAGAATAGGTTCATTCATCCCAGAGGCCACCACCTGCCCGCTTGGGGCTGTTACCATATTTTCTGTTCCTTCACTGGTAGTGTGTCCTTGGGCCAAGAATATATTACTTATTTTGGCACCATTCTCCAACTCCAAATCAGCCATACATGCTTACAGTGCTATAAAGTCATAATGATGCAATTGCAAAAGAGTGGCCAAATGAATACGAAGTGTGTATACAAAGTAAATTTAACTCACTGCCTCCACAGCTCTGCTCATGGAGCAGTTGTGTTTCTGATTCCATAACGTATACTCTCCCCTTTTATTTTTGCTCTTCAACCCAGAAGCTCTTTGTTTCACTCTGCTCTTACCACCTATTTCCGATCAGTAGCCACAATCTACAATGCAAATGGAACAATTGAATATGATAGGGGTGAAAATAGAGTAGGAAAACATCAAAGTTCATCCAAAAATTAAGTGACATAAGTCACTGATTTCCACAGAAACCAGGACTACTTTCCTGCAAAACTCTTACCATGGAAAGGAGAATATTCAAGACAAATCTTAACATGTATGAGTACATTGCACTCCAAATAGGATATTTTCCAGGTTTTATTTTTGTTATGGATAGCTGCAAATGTATTTCAGAGGAGGCATTTTTATAGTAGGTATTCCGAACTGTAGCTGAACCAAAACGACTAGCATGCTGTTGCAGGATCTCTTCACAACTCACATCAGTGGCTTGGATTATCCATTGAACTGAAATGCTCTGACTCTGCTTTTGCACCAAACCAGAGCTGTTTGTTTCTGCCTTGGCCTCCATCTTGGGCCATCTCTGTATGAAAACAGACAGTTTTCACAGCACACACTCACAACTGAAGACTATTTGCATTGTCTCTCTCTATAAAAAGAGTAATACCATCACCTCTCCTTCGGATCCACGCACGGAAGCGAAGGAAAAAAAAAAAAAAAAAAGGTTTTTCTGACCTACAAAAGCCTTACTTGAAATAATTCTCTACGACTTGAGGCCTTTTGGAATGGAAGGGATATATTGTTTTGACTTGATTAAAGCTGAAAAGTTGATTTGACATCCTGTTGTCAAGGAAACCAATTCACACACAAAAGAAAACAGTTGTGATGGTATCATTCAGACTATTCAAGTGACCTTAGAAAGAAAAAAAGGCTTCAGTTCCAAAGATTTGTATTCAACTCACTTCACCACTGTAGAAATAAACATCATTGCTCTTTATGCTTATTGGAAAGCAGTTTTCAATCTGGAAAAAGCAAAATGCCACATCTTCTTCCAGCTGCCAGATCCAATACTTTGCTGGGACTATGCACATAAACACACCTACCATTTATTGCCTATTTCAAAGAACCACAGAAAGAATCGCACAGAAGACATATAGGGAAGGAGAAGGAATTGCTTTCGTTGACAGGACTGTAATAAAACCCCCTAACACATACCACACCTATTGAACAGCAGCTCTCAAGCCAGGTTTTACAACATCCTCCTTCAACTAGAAAGAAAGCTTACCTCAAGCACAGCAGTGTTTGAGCCCAGCTTTGTTTTTCTGGAAGATATCAAAAAGCAGTATTTTTTCTTTGCCAGCCTCCTAGATCCCTCAGAAATTGAATTTTTCATGCATGTACTAAATGGGATGTAGTTATGCTCAATCTGCTCACTCCTACCTACAGAATCCCAGAGAGGCAGAACTGTCTTGGCTGACCACTGCCACCACCATCCAGCTTTGCAGCCCATGCAAATCTCACAGAGGTTTCATTCCCTAACAGCTGTGGGTAGATTGGAAAAATGAAACTTTCTCTCTATCCGCTCACACACTATAATTATACATCTCTTTCTCTGATGACATAGCCTCTGCCTGGCCAAGTGAGAAGACAGACGACTAAATAGCAACTTGTCTCAAATTCTACTTAGAAAAAAATAGGCATCATATTAATAAGGACGGAAATACACTGAGGAATGAATGCCAGTGTTCTTACATCATTGTCATTTAAGGGCATCACACCAAAGGTCACGGAGGTAATAAGCCTCAGTCATTTTCCATTTGTTACACAATATACAAATTGCCACAGTGTTAATGAATATCTTTCTCCACTCCTGGCCAGCCAAGACACTGTATTATTTCCTCTTAAACAAGTGCCTAACACTTGGAATTCGTTATTTCCATCACTTCTTGCAAAACTTTGTCCTTAAGGCTGAGCATAAATGCCACAAGGTGGCTGTGACTGGAGCATCAAATGCTTCATATGGCTGAGCCTGACTTCTTTCTGATACAGCTTTTTTGGTAGAAGAGCACACAAAGCATATTTATATCATTTATGATCAAATATGCACACACATTCATATATACTGTCTTACAAGTGTCTCAAACCCCTTGAAGTACCCAAGAAAAAGAAAATCTACGTTGCTTGTACTTGGTAGATATTGCTTGATACTGACATATTGAAACAATTGTTATGCTAGAAACATGAACTGACCCAGACAATAGAAGCTACCATGAAATAAGTGCATTTCCACTTAAAATGATGACGAGTGGAAAGTAGTTCTTGGAACAGAAATGCCATTCACAGAAATGTGGAAGGGTTTGTGCGAAGGCATATACTGCTTAAACCCTCTTTACTCCTAATAAACTGCTAAGGTTGCACAGCTAAGCTAGAGAGAGAGGAATGCCTCATTTCTAATCTGTATGTCATTGGATCTTAAGTTTAGGCATTTTGCATAAATATAGGTAGTGACAACTGAACCAAGCTCATCCTATTTCATAAACCAAGGGTTTTTTTTAAGATGATAAATTATTATTTTCACTGTTCACCTTAAGCATAAAGAATATGCAGTTGAAAAGAGAATACTGAAAGCTGGTAGCTTTGTACAATTCTGAAAAAGACTAAACTTTATGTGCATAATTAAAATTAGAAAGAGAAGAATGAAGTTGACACCAAATGCTGAACTAAAATAATCCAAGGTTAATTTCTGCATGTAATCAACTTCCTCCTCTGCCCGCCAGGCTGAAACACCACACTCGGTGTTTTGATGAACATCATCTCTTCATATTTTCTTCTCTCCCACCCAACAAACCCAAACAGCAAGAGCCAGAAAAGAAAGCTGACGGCACTGCCAAGCTTACCCACAAATAGGTCCATACTCCGTTATGAGTTTTGTGTGGTTTTCCCAAAAACCCTGGATAAAAGAAAGAAAACGAAGTATTTTAGAACAGTACTTAATAGAAACTCTATTATACAATGTTGCTAACACTCACGCCAGAGCTTTGAACCTCAACTGGGAGAGCCATGATTTTAGCTAATAACCTCACCTTTCTCTCAGTGTCCATCTGTGACAGAAGTCTAGAAATGATGACTGAAAAAAATCCCAACTCCATTAAAGACCCGGAAAGCCATGAAACATGTTTTCATCAGGGTTTTACATTCCAAAATAATGTTACCAGTTCTTTGTGTAGGTTTTTTTTTTGGTTGGTTGGTTGGTTTGGGGTTTTTTGTTTGGGTGTGTGGGTTTTGTTTGTTTGTTTGTTTTAAACTAATTTCATGATTGGGATTCTTACTTATTAATCTTTTTTTCTGATGTGTGTGTGGATTAAAAAACTGACAGATAAATTAGTTACATAAATACATGATTGCTACACACAAGAGAAACACAGGGAAAATGGAAAGGTGGTCTCGTCTGGGGTTTAGTTATGCTATTCAAAATAAAACCCAAACCTGTATTGGAGTTTAGCATGAGGCAGTCACCTGGGACACTCTGCAGAACAGTAAGCAGATTTATTTTGACAAACTTTTAGAATTTTTACTGTGTTTCATTTTCATAATTGATGAAAATTGGTAACCATTTATCCAAATAAACCTGACACTATACTAAATTGTTAGTGTCCTAAATGAATTCAAATTGATTAATCTGAAAGGTGTGCAAAATGTATCCCCGAAAGTGAATATGAAAAAAACGGTTTTAACAAAACAGCAATATTTGAGAATCTTACTGCACTGTTTGTAACTTGTCTATGGACAAATAACACATCTGACTGCATTAATCTGCATTTATAGTAATTCAGGAAGGCTATTGTGATCTATCTTCATTCTTCAGAGAAAAGTCACTAACAAAGTAGAAGACTCATATTGAATCTTTCTTATTTTGTCAGACATACTACAGACTATGAGCTAAAACAATATGAACTATTGTAAATACATTAACCACAGACATACATAAACAACACCACATAACGTGTGTATGTTTTGGGAGCATTTTACCATACTGAGCAAAAGAAAATCTGGTAATCAAAAGTAGTTATCATGCTTATCACCCTTGGGTGCTGACATATCACCCAAATTAGCAAAGCACTTGCCTCCACCTACAGTCCTCCTCTTATAGAGCATTTTGATTGTTATTTTATTCTTAATACAGTTCTGGTTGTTTTGGGTTTTTTGATCCTGGGCTTGCAATGTGTTTATTCTACTGGACAGTACACCTCCAGGTTAAGGCAAGAACTTCAGATTCTCCTAAACCTACAGAAAGCTGAAGCGCTGGATGTTGTGTAAGAAAACACACTAAAGATAAAATCATGAAAGAAGTGGTTTAGATGACTGCCTGAAAAATACATATTCTCACCTGAAAAATACTTTACTACTAAGGTAAGCAGAAAAGCCTCATCTGTTAGCACAGAGGAACCAAGGTGGGCAAAGCCTTTGTGATACCACAGACACAGCTAACTCAAAAAAGCTTTTATCTGCAGACACGGAGTGAGGGGGGAAAGGTACACACGCACTCACATCGACCCGCATTTTGCTATAGTGACACTTCCGCGGGAGCAGGATCTCAGCCTGCAGCGGCGGTGATTTCCGCCTTACAAAGGTTACCTACTGCCTTCCCTGCTGACGCGAGGGGAAATCCTGGGGCCAAATCCCCCGCAGCGCTACTCTCCAGGCTGCCACCTAAGAGCAGGCTGGGCTCATGGGTGCACCCTGGTCGCTTCACCTGTGAGAGGGACTCCAACCTGCGCAAGCACCGGCCGACACTTACAGCCACGCCGAGGCACCAGCGCGACGCAGGGCACTGCTCGAGGTCCCCGGGCAGGGCTGAACGCGTGGTGCCAAGCACTGCTGCATCACAACGCTGTCGGCTGCACGGGGCTTCGGGGCTTGTGAGATGATGCTGAATCAGGTCAGCCCCCCAGCCCACCTTCCTCCCGGCCTGTCTTGAGTGAGGACATGCCAAACTACAGCCTGAACCTCGCCTGCTAAGTTTTGCTTTGGATTGCGAGCACGCGCGTAGGGATCGCACTTGCTGTATCCACCAGCTGCGTTCCAGCGAGCCAGCAGGGTATTAACATTTACAAGAAGTCTAGGCTTTAAATGATTCACTGAAAAAGCCTTCCAGAAAGCCAGCTTCTTGGAAGCGCTATTCCTGGCTCACTACAGTAGAGGGGTCAGGCAGAACACGTTTAAAATCAGGCCGGTTAACCAATAACTGGTTTTCCACCTCCAGGTCTCCTAAATGTTTGCGCTGGATTAAAATTAACCACATTCCTGTTTTCTTCCGCAAAGTGAGAAGTACAAGCCTGCAGGATGGGGAGAGAGGAGTTGAATAGTATCTGGGAAGGATTGGGAGAAAACATCCTCGGGAGTAAAATAAGCACTTGTTCTCTATGCCCAGAGACTGTGACCGCACACACATACACAGCACTGCCTGCCTCTGCCGCCAACCACAGGGACCCAGTGCTATCCTTCGTAGGCACGGAGCGCACGCAGGAGTGGGTCTCATCAGGCTGCCTGGGAAGACGAGCGAGCAGCCCTGCCAGGCTGCAGCGGCTGAAGCACAAGCAAGGCAGAGGGAACACACGTGCACACCCCTTCCGAGCCAAGGCACGCCTTTCAGCCGCAGGAAGCTGGGGTCACAAGGCGGCACTTGTGTTTCTTCCCAACAGCCACGAGGAAGGCCATGAACCTGTGATGGTCTCAGTACACGGTGCGAGGATATGCCATGTCCACGCAGCTCTGCCAGTTTTGCAGCATCATCCCTGAACACAGCTTCCAGGAGACAGGTACTCTGAAACACCATTCTTCTCCTGTGTGTCAGGTTTGAAGCACAGAAAGCCTCTGAAGTGCTTTTGGTAACTTATTTACGCCAGCTGAGGTCGATCTGCTCCAAGGCTCATTACTGCAGGTTTGTCCACTTTTATAATTGCAATTGTACTTAGTACCTACAGGATAAGTACCTTTGCACCAGCAGCAGCTGCTTTACAAGAAACCGGAGGTAGAGACCTCTCTGACTCAAGATCACCTGGTGGGTAAACACGAGGAGAGGAAGCAAACTCAGAAACAGTGCCTGCTGACATGTACCCACAACTTAAACAGCCATAAGACAGCAGCTATAATGAAGCAATGTTGGGATTAGGAAGGGGATAATCAGGGAAAAATGGAAACATATGTATTATGCTTTTTTAGGAAAGCAGAAGGAAACTGGAAAGCAAAACACTGCACGGTATTACAAGATGACACCATGTGCATCAGGAGGAACTGTAGCACATTAAACAGGGACTTAACAACTATGTGTAAAAGCATAGTCAGTAATGCTGTTGCAAGTCAGAAAAATCACATAGCTTTTTCTTTGTTTGGAAGCTGCAGATAATGAATTGTCATCAACAACAACTCAGAAAAGGGTTGGAGCAGGGGAGACTTGCTGCGTGTGGCCCCCACAGTGAGGTACCAGCCTGATGACAGCCCATTATCAAACAAGATAATGCGGGAGTATGAAAAGCTTCTTTCCCTGAAGAAAGCATATTTTACAGCATCTGGTACACCATGGAAACAGCAGCTCAAATGGGCTGACTGCTGCACACCCAGAAGGCTTCTTTGTTTACATGGCTGGCAGTTGCCTCCCCACAGGGAATTTGCCTTCTCCCCTTCGTCTGAGGGTGTATCATCAGCTGCATCTGTGGGTAGAACCACTCACGCAAGGCCAGGGATACAGGTGCAACCCCTGTGGAAGGGAAGAATATTTGGGTCTGCATCAGACAGAGTGAAGTCTGGTCATTGCCAACCTTCTATCTTGAGATACTGAATGCTGAGGCTTCCGCTTGAGCAGCACATGCCCAAAAGGGCTTCAGAAAGGACTCTTGTCTTAACTATCCCCTTTCCTGTTTTCAACAGATTCTGCCACTCCAAGATGGATCCTTCAGCAATTTCCTCCTTGTTGCATATTCACCTTGCTAGTTCCTCACAGCACGGAAAAAATCTGTGGCAATGTCATCTTCCCTCCTTGCTGAAAATGGGTGCAGGCACTAAGCCAAAGTTTTCAGAAAGAGCCAGTAGTATCATGCATTTCAATTTTTGGAGTGGCTAACGTAAGGCATATCCAAGCTATTCTTATTAGTTGCTCAATACCTGCAATCTTGAGGCTGCAAATGGGGATTTAAGTGACTTCAAGCTTGAAGCTCAAGTGACCCAGACTGCATGGAGGATGCTTTATAACATTTCAGTTTCCTGCATCTGGAAAACAAATCATGTAGTTTATGAACTTAGCCATAGTCCTTAAGGGTCACTAGATAAAATGGTTTGAAGAGGGTCACAAAGCTGAGGGATCCAGCAGATGAATTCTCCTGACCATAACACAGAATTCGAACTCCAAAAAAGTGACTTCCAGAATGCAACGAGGGTAGCTCTTGAATTTTGTAGTGTACTGAATGCCACAAAAGCTACCAAGCTGTATGGAAATGGATGTGGTGTGCCCGTCAAAACCCACTGCAAGTGAAACATTACCCATGAAAGAATAGCCAAGGGTAAAAGGCTTCTTTTGTTGCCCCTTTCAGAAAAAAGCATCACACTTTACCTGATGTCAGTCACTTACCCAGACAGCCTGGATTCAAACCTGTGACTGAGAAGCCTAAGATGTCAGATTCTATCACTAGTCCACAGACATGCTCACCACCCTGTAGTCAGACATGATGTTCTGTTTCGCTACGTTATTAATAACCACAGCATTATTGTTTGCGTGCACACCTCACATCAAGACACAAAAATCTATACTGTTATTTATAGTACATTATGACAAGGAATGACATTTATGGATCAGATTTTTAGTATTCCATGGGCTTCACAAGCCTTTTTTCCTTAGACCACCTGGAAAAAAAAACAAACATCTGGTAATAACCTAGCACCCCAAATGATTTTTTT